ACAGTCCGACCTCCTCAATTCAAGCGCATCCTACATCTTGCGGCCCCCAGTAGTTCCACAGATCACTTGCACATCAGACTTTATCAAGGTTTGCTTAAACTTGGACTTGTATGCTAACGCTACAAAGCTGCATCCCGTGGTTGGTGAAAATGCCGGTCGCTGGTTGAATTACGCTCTCACCTCCACGTGTGCGGCAAGTCGCTCCAAGTTCAACCTTACAATTGCGGTCGGAGGGGATGGCGACTGGAAGAATGGCAACGTCTCATTCCGTTGTTTCAATGCGTCAGATGTACTGCCGTGCCAAGGGTCTGATCAGAATGTGACCTGCAAGTGAGTCGAGCAAACCTACTGGAGGGGGTCAAGCACTGTGTGGCGGAGGGGAGTAAACATGTCTGTTGTCTGAGGAAATGTGGGACTGCATGCATGACGACGCGGATGCATGCACGCCTGCATGTACGTGTCGGCAGCTACGTCTTTATGAAATAACGGTTTGAATTGGATTTTAGCAGCATTGTGCCCTCACATGATTATCCTTCCAGCTGTACCACCCTGCTCTCGCCACCTATCCCTTTCCCTCGCTCCCTCTCCTTCCTCCGCAGCTGCAACATGACGAGGAACATCACCCCCTTCGCCGCCTTGCCGACTATGAGCGGTCCATTCACGGGCCGCAAGAACACGAAGTTGTACTGCTTCAACATCACCCTCGTGAAGCCCATTGAGCCAAATGTGGGTCGCAGCGCTCGCTGGCGCCGCCGTACACCGCATGATAGCATGTGCATGTCCTGGTTGATGTATGTATGTATGTATGTATGTATGTATGTATGTATGTATGTATGTATGTATGTATGTATGTATGTATGTATGTATGTATGTATGTATGTATGTATGTATGTATGTATGTATGACTTAGATTACACTGTGGGCCGCGAGAGCCGGGGGCCGAAGCCGAAACACAGCGCAAGGGTCGGGAGCACACAGCACAAGTCGGTTAGTCTTGTGTGCTCCCGACCCCGACTCAGACTGCCAACACTCTACGCAGCCACTCCGCAGCCACCCCATCTGGGGATGGCGCTGCAGTGAAAACACCACGAAGGGCTCTCAGGTCCCGCTAGAGCGAGTCCACAAGTCTCAGCTAGGGCAAAGTCAAAGGCTCTCTGAAACAACCCCCCCAAACACCACCAACGAAAACGGGATTCGAAGGGAAAACAAACAAACAAACAAACACAAATTCGGTTGGGGCAGTCCCGGCAGGGGAGGGCTCCTGATATACCTAACAGGCCAACAAAAAACCTCCAATAGAGAAAGGCTAAGAGAGCTCGACACCACAAGACGTCTTGCAACCACCTTAAAACAACTGACCTCCACCACCTGTCCCTTCCTGGGCTGGTCCAGGGGAGAAGTAGCCTTATAAAGAAAAGGGATCCCGCACAAGCCTGATCACCACTGCAGGGGCCCGGGATAGTCCGGCGAAACGACCAAAGCGTTAGCGTTGCCACGACACACAGCTCCTAGACCCTCCAGAAAACCGCAGGGGGAGGATTGTAGCCCGCGTGGCGCCTCCCCCTTACCGCCACTAACCTGAACGGTTGGTCCTCCAGAAACCTATTCACCCTGTCTCGTACTGCACCGCTCTCACCTTCGTCCCTCACCAAGCAACCCAGTCCCACAGAGAAGACGTGTCTAGATAGAATGGCCCTCCTCGGGCCACACCTCCCCCTCATCCGAGCCCCGCTACCACCACCAGACCTCAACCTCCCAAACACCAGAAAACCTACGTCCTTTTGGCGCTCTCACCGCCATCTCCCCCCTCCCCTGTCCGAGCGACCCCACCTCCCCCCGGCTCTCCAGCCCCCTACAACCTCGGAGCGGCACTAGGGAAGAAAAAGGGTTCTTCCCTGCACGACGTGACCGCCTCCATTCCCCGTCCTACTCCTCTCCCTCTCCCGCCTCGGGGTTCCCTCTCACCTATTCCCTCGTCCTCCAACCCCCATCCCCTTCGA